ATGGGTGGGTGGTTGGGGGGGGGGGTGGATGGATGGATGGATGGGTAGGTGGATGGATGGATAGATGGATGGATGAGTGAGTGGGTGGATGGATGGATGGATGGATGGATGGATGGATGGATAGATGGGTGGGTGGATGGATGGATGAATGGATGGATGGATGGATGGATGGGTTGATGAATGGGTGGGTAGGTTGCTGGCTGGATGAATGGATAAATGATGATTCCCAAGAGGAAGGAGAACGGTAGAGCTGCCCTACCCTCTCGCTAACATGCTTCAGCAGTTCTTCTGCCTCCTCCATCGCCGCTGCCTCCCTCTGGAACTGGTTTTCCGTCTTTTTCCTTGTTTCTAGGTCGCATTCAGCCGTCAGAGCCACCATCTTCCGATCATACTCCTCTTGTATTTCTTTCTCCAGCATCAGAAACTGCTTTTTAAAAGCGGCGCCCATCCTCCTCTCCACCTGAGGGGCGAGGTGGCCCCTGCTGCTCAGATCTCTCAGCAGAAGGGCGATGACGTCCTTGCTGATTTGGGTCCGACAAGCCTCCAGATCTGAGTCGGCCCGATTCAGGGTTGCAATCTCCAACCTGGGAGACACAAAGGTCGGGAGTGTTCCATTACCTAACGTCCGACAGAAGCCAGAGGCCCCTGGTTAGGAAAGCTCTGCGGTTTCCAGTTATCTGTAGGTCAGGCCTTCCTCTTGCCCTTTCCCTCCTCCTCCTCCTCCTCCCCTCCTCCCTCCCTCTGTCCCATCCAGTGACTGAACACCAGTGGCTGAGTAGCAGATTCTTTTTTAAAAAATGTTTTTTATTTATTTTACAGAGAGAGGAAGGGAGAGGGAGAGAGAGAAACATCGAATGAGAGAGAGAGAAGCATCGAACAGCTGCCTCCTGCACACCCTCCTGCCTCCCTTCTGACTCTGGCCTCACCTCATCACGCCTGGAAGCGTAACGGGCTGGAGTCCCACACCCCAAGTTTCCAATCTAGCTTCGCCCCTTCCGAACTGGGCGCCCGAGGTGTCTGCTGTCTGAGCCCCGTCCCCCGACTGGGTAATGGGAACCCCATTTCCGTGTCAAGTGCAGGTCCCTGCGGAGATGAACCTGCCTCTGCGTGAGGCTCTGCTTTAGCAGCTGTAGGACTCTCAGGCCGCTCAACCCTCCCACCGTCTGTGAGGCGGTGACCACCCTCCTGCTCAGCTGGGGAAACCGAGGCACAGAAACTGACATTCCTCATCCAAAGCAGCAGAGCTGTTCAGGGGCAGAGCTGGGATTTGAAGCCAAGACGTGTGGCTCCAGGGCCTTTGCTCTACCCTTCCTCCTACGGCCTCGCGCCAACACGCACCGCTCCGCCTCGCAGAACAGTCTGTGGGTCTGTCTCTCCATGACCGGTGAGCACTAGTGGCTGGAGCACTCCGCACCACCTGGGCACCCACAGGCCTGGCCCATGGCCCTGGGCGAGCACCTGCTCAGGGACAGTGGCTGGCAAGGGAACAGAGGAGCGGATGCAGGAAAGAGGGCGGCGCAGGGCTGACCTGGCGCTGTCACGGAGGCACACTGGTCGCCTTCGGTGGCAATACACCCACTGGACCGCTGACCTCCCCTGGCACCAGATGCCCATGACAACTGAGGGACCTCAGGCTGGCGTCCCCGCTCACTCAGACCACAGTGAGCAGGGGGGGATGTCCCCCAAAGACACCTGAGCGCGTGAGCGTCAACCAAACATCTTGGATGTTTTTATGTGTTTGTGAAAAAATAGACAAAAATAGCAAAAACAACAAAGCAAAAGATTTCCTGGAAGCAAAGACATCGGAACTGAACCCCTGAGTGAGTGAGTGCTCACAAGGAAAGGAGCCCAGGGTCCCACTGGAATGGAAGCGGCGAGGGGGTACAGGCAGGTCTGATCTCAGTGGCAGCTGCCAGACCCCTGTCCAAATCAAAGCCCATAGCCCACACCTGGCAGCCCAGCCCCACACCTGGCAGCCCAGCCCCACACCTGGCAGCCCAGCCCCACACCTGGCAGCCCAGCCCCACACCTGGCAGCCCAGCCCCACACCTGGCAGCCCAGCCCCACACCTGGCAGCCCAGCCCCACACCTGGCAGCCCAGCCCCACACCTGGCAGCCCAGCCCCACACCTGGCAGCCCAGCCCCACACCTGGCAGCCCAGCCCCACACCTGGCAGCCCAGCCCCACACCTGGCAGCCCAGCCCCACACCTGGCAGCCCAGCCCCACACCTGGCAGCCCAGCCCCACACCTGGCAGCCCAGCCCCACACCTGGCAGCCCAGCCCCACACCTGGCAGCCCAGCCCCACACCTGGCAGCCCAGCCCCACACCTGGCAGCCCAGCCCCACACCTGGCAGCCCAGCCCCACACCTGGCAGCCCAGCCCCACACCTGGCAGCCCAGCCCCACACCTGGCAGCCCAGCCCCACACCTGGCAGCCCAGCCCCACACCTGGCAGCCCAGCCCCACACCTGGCAGCCCAGCCCCACACCTGGCAGCCCAGCCCCACACCTGGCAGCCCAGCCCCACACCTGGCAGCCCAGCCCCACACCTGGCAGCCCAGCCCCACACCTGGCAGCCCAGCCCCACACCTGGCAGCCCAGCCCCACACCTGGCAGCCCAGCCCCACACCTGGCAGCCCAGCCCCACACCTGGCAGCCCAGCCCCACACCTGGCAGCCCAGCCCCACACCTGGCAGCCCAGCCCCACACCTGGCAGCCCAGCCCCACACCTGGCAGCCCAGCCCCACACCTGGCAGCCCAGCCCCACACCTGGCAGCCCAGCCCCACACCTGGCAGCCCAGCCCCACACCTGGCAGCCCAGCCCCACACCTGGCAGCCCAGCCCCACACCTGGCAGCCCAGACCCCATACCTGGCAGCCCACCCTCACACCTGGCAGCCCAGCCCCACACCTGGCAGCCCACCCTCACACCTGGCAGCCCAGCCCCACACCTGGCAGCCCAGCCCCACACCTGGCAGCCCAGA